CCCCAAAACCCCAAAACCCCAAAACCCCAAAACCCCTCGTTAGACAGATCCAGTTGAGAATAATTTTATTAAGATTAAAACTAACATGAATGCATCTCAAAGTAAGATCAGGAATTTATAGGATTGGGCCTGAACGGTACTTACATCAATACTTGCTTCAAAAAGGTTCCTTAAAGACTAATCAGGTGTTGAATAACCAAACTGGTAGCTTATATTACAAATCTTTTTAAATATTTAAAGAAAAGAGAAACAATTTTGAGAAATATTTACATAAATCTGTTTGGAACTGTTAAATTTTTTATTCTTAGGATCAAGCCAATACGTTCCAAAGCCAGGAACAAAATACTCAACACCAGTGACCTATGACAGTAATGAAAACAGCGGCCACAAGCAGTTTGGAAGGTAAATGTTGGGTGAAATATAAATAGGTCCAAGACTTCTTCTCATAAAATGAACTCTAGCACTAACTATAAGTCAGGGTACTCCGTTAACAAACCATCAGAGATTAAATATGGTGAGGATATTAAGCAACAGATGGGAAATGAGCTTGAAGAATCTTATCATGATGAGCTTGATGAGTTCTCAACTCCAAATTCAACCCAACAGAATCGTGAAATAAATAGAATGTCTTATGTCTCCCAATTGAAGTCGATGAAAACAAAAACCAGCAAGTTCGGTATGAATCGTTCTTTTAAACTCTTTAGATGATGATCAAAGCGAAGAAGTCGAAGATTTGCTAATGAAGAACGGCTTTCACCAGTCCAAAGGAGAATTCTCCTTAAAGAATTCGAGTCACCAAGACTGTTACTTCAAGAATATGAATGAGTTCGTTGATGACAAGCTTGATATGGTGGTTGAAAAACTTGCTGAAAAGAAGTCTCTCTCCACAGTCAATAATACCCTCAGGTGAGTTGTAGACAAGCTTTCCAAAGAAACCAGCAAACTCATGAAAGAGAAAAAGGATCTTGAGCAGAACTACGACAAAGAGTTTGAGAAGAACAAAAAGCTCAACTCTGAATGCGATGAAATACTCGAGCAGCTTACTGTATTCAGAGAGAATCTTGAAAGCTACAGGATCAGTGAAAATGCAAATATCAACTCGATGAGAGATGATGAAGCTGACATGAAAAATAACTACAACCATAATTTGCAGCAGTTCAACCTTGACAAGAACTTGTGGAACGACGACTTGAAAGAGCAAAGATCAGAAATCAAAGAACTCGAAGAAGAAAACAGACTTGCACAGCTTTCACTAAAAGATGTCCAGGCCAAACACAAATACTGCAAGAAGCTGGAATATGAGAAGACAATGGTTTTTAAAGAAAAAGCTAAAATCCTTGGTCAGTTGATCAAAGATGAAAAGCCGACATTAAAAGCAACCACGAACAAAAGAGTCATGGACATCACTAAGACATTTGCAAAGAAGCTCGACCATAGGAAGATCACATCAGGCATTGACACTACGAGAGGCATCATCGACCTGAGCAGCACGAAGTTGTTCAACACAACTCTAAATTCAATTAGAATTAACGGAGTGGAGAAGACTTTTGACTCCATTGAGAAGATCAAATCAGCAAAGGGGGCAAAGAGGGGATCAATGACAAAGATGAATGTGAGCCATAACTCCTTGAACATTCATAAATAATCCTGAAGCATAGCCAGAATCAATGACATTTTCAGAAGCAAGAATTGATTAAATATTTGGTATTCTGAATATATTCAGAATAAATTTGGGTTTTTAATTAAGGGGTTTTGGGGTTTTGGGGTTTTGGGGTTTTGGGG